CAAGAAGACCTGTGCACAGCCAGCAAAAGGAGCCCGTGGCAGCCAAACAGCCAGCCTGCTGCAACACAGCGTCCTGGACTGCAGGGATAAATCACCCAGCCCCAAGGACGCTTCCTACCTGCCCTTGGCTGACAGCCACCTGGAGATTGACTGGATGGGGGAGGGGCCGGCGAGGCAGGAAGAATGCTCACCCTCACAGCTCTCTGGAGCTGTGTCCTGTACCACTACAGAGACCCTGAGCTACCTAGCAGGGTGAAGGCCTTGGGCTCAGAGAGATGCTTCCCCCTTCCCCCCAAAAAAGCACTACCTTTCAGATAAGAGCCTCTTAGGACCATAGCACCCTAGAAAGCCTGAGGCTTTCTCTCACAGCCCCTGACAGGCTGGTGTGGGTACAGACCCCTGGTGGCCCAGGGCAGTGGACATTCCCTACACCCTGGAATGACCTTGAGGCCTTCCCTTTGCCCAAACGCTGTCGAAACCTCACTGTCCTCCACCCCACAGCCATGCCTGCTCTGGCATCCAAGTGTCTTGGTTTCTCTCCCAGACCACACCAATCAACAGGACCAGTTTCTCTGTGACTTAGCCCCTGACACAGTGCTAACACCTTCTCACTAGCCACGCTGCCCTACCTGGACATGAGCCACTGGACGTGAGCCACTCTAGACAGCTACAAGCCATCTCTAGCAGACGCTCTCAGAGTAGAAGGAAGCAGAGCAGGAGAGGCATGAGCAGCCCCAGCCCTGGAGGAGGGGCCTCTAACAGCCATGCCCTCCACATCCAGGCCAGGCACCCAGAGATAGTCCTAAGACCCCTAATGTCATGTGGACATGGTTACCCCTACCCGTTTTTTTCCCATTCTAGAGTTCTGGGAGCGCTCTTGAGAGGCAGAGGAAGAATGGGGAGGGACCTGCTTCTTTGCTGACAAGCAGCAAGTGAAAGACAAGACACCAAGCCCCATCTGCATTCACCTGCTTCTACAACTCTATTTTGCAAAAGAATCCTCAGCACCATGGATCTTCTTAAGAACGTGACATCAGAATTCTCACTTTTCCTAAAGAAAGCAGCCAAGCCCGGAGATGCTAAGGAATCTGTCTAATGGTATCAGCACAGGAGCCCAGGTCCCCAAGCAGGAACCCACCCTGGGTGCATTGTGTTTCCCTTAGGGAAAGCTCAGGGTGTTCCCTGTCACCTTGATGATGATGGTGGGCTCAGAAGTCCTGCTCCCAAACCCCTACTCTCCTCGGACCCTGTTACAAAAAGACTCATTCGACAGATGGTCTGACCAGCCTAACACACGCTGTGCAGCAGGCTTTTGGATGCCTTCTGCATGGAGGGTAGCTCTCCTAGTCCCCAACTGGGCTCAGTAAATCACAGCCCCATTTCTATGTATCAGTTCGGTACCTCTCCCCATGGGCTTGGAGATTTTATCTTCTTTGGAGAAGAGAAGCTAACGACCCAGAATGCAAAAACAACAAGAGAAAAACCAACCCGTGTTATTGAGCAGGTCAGAAAGAACACTCTCCCAGCAAGTAATGCTTCCTTTGGGTACACAACATCGCCCCCTGCTGCCTGTGTCCAGTATTACCACAGCTCCCTGGTGGAAGGAGCGCCAAACCCTCATGGAGGGGGGGGCCTCTCTCAGTTCCCACTCTTTGCTGCTGAGGTAGCGCACACTTCCGAGGGCACCCACTCTTCACAACACATTCTTGATCTGAAAACCGCACACAAAACACAAGCGAAGATTGACACACCGGCTGTGCAAAACAATAAAGCAGTTGCCCTGCCCCATGTTATGGACACAAAAGATTATTTCAGGACCTTAAAACTACAGTGCGGGTCAGCAGAGCAGAGGAGCCCTGTCGCTGCCTCAGGGCTGTGCAGCAGCTGCCAGAAAAGACCCCAGTCTTCTCCCTCTGTTTCTCTGAAGAGCACAGAGAAAGAATCCTCTCTGGCTCTGCCCATTGTCTTCCAGGTCGGGCAAGTACTGGGGTCCCTGCCGCTGCTCTTGCCAGGTTCCCAAAGGTGTGACTTCTCTGTAGCCAAGTGTGATGACAGGGAGTGTTCCTGCTACACACACACACACACACACACACACACACACACACACAGTTTCTTCCAGCAGTTACAGGTGCCAGGTGATATTTAATGAACCATTATAAGAAGCAGGTTGTCCCTAAGCCCCAAATAGGCAGCACATCCTAAAGCACCAAGGGATGGGAAGTAAAGCTCTGACTGGCCAGCCTGCTTCTCTCCCCTCCCCCCTTTCTTCTCCCCGAATCCTTACCTAAGACGGGACCCACTGCATCAGTTCGCACCCAAGAAGCCTCAGCCCCAGAGAACTGGGTGAGGCTCATAAATCAAGTCTCCTCGCTGGACACTCGGAAGGGGCCGATCTTCCCCTCTGGTTAATGGCCTTGGCTTGAAGTTCCCTGCACGCAGCACCCCTGGCAAGAGCTGAAGGCCTGTTTCAGCACTGAACCTGTGGCCAGCTCCCTCCCCGCCAACCCGGACCCGGCTCCTCGGCTCCGCTGCGCAGTCTTGCAGAACAAAGGGAACAATTACGGCTGCATTTCCCCTGGCACAACGCAAAACCACAGAAGACACTGGTCACCAATCCTTGTAAACCCGTTGTGGAATTTAGTACTTGTTTCTCAAACCCAGCGACAGTCTCCTGGCAAGGGCTGGGTGTTACTGTGGAGGAAAGCGCAGGTTCCCACAGCCAGCAAGGAAGATGAGACAGGCTCAAGAGGAACAGGCCCGCCGAGTCAGCTGAGAGAAGAGGAGGGGAGAGGGCGAAGCCTCCCCAGGGCTCCCACTATCTCTGAGCTTCCATGAAAGGGTGGGTTGCCCTCCTTCCTGGAGGAGAAAGCACCCTGAAATATGCACTGAGGTGGGAAGGGGGGATGGGGGCAACAAGAAAGCAGTGCCTGAGGACTGAAAGAAAGTCTGGGTGAGAAGCCTCCAGGAGTGCTGCCTGGCAGTTCTGTGGGTAAGAGGCCCCGTGGAGAGCATGGACTGAGATCGGGACCTGGGCTGAGCCAAGGCAGCTGGTCTGGAGAGGCGTGTGGACTTTAGCAAGCAAGTGAGGACCAGGCAGGGGTTTCTGCTACAAGGCAAGGGGAGGGAATAAATAAGAGCCTTGGTGTGGGGAGTTCACGGAGGTAGGGCTTCTGGGTGAAGAAAGCCTAGAGAGATCCTTCCCCTGCCCTCACGCTGGGCCCCTCCAGGATCTAGGGGGACCCTCTTACCTTCTCACAGACCCTTGCTTCCCACTTGCTTTCCCAAGCCATAACGTGCTAGACACGGTCGAAACTAGACAGGGCCCTGCAGCTCTGTGGAGGGGCTCAGGAGGAGCTTCTGAGGGGGAAGCCCTGAGTCCATGGCCCTAACCACCTCTGCCCCCACTACACTGGCGACCCTGACCTGCCAGGAAGGACCAGCTGAAGTCCCTGTGGACTCTGACATCTGATCCACAGACATCTCAGTACCTGCCCCCCCCCAAGACACACACACCACCCCCATCTCTGGGTATCTGAGAAAGTAATTAATTTGGACTTTGCATTACCTCTGGAGCTCTCTGAGGCGTTCCAAAAAAATGTAAGGACAAATTGGAGGGCGGTGCCCCTGTCACAAAAGAGGCCACTCCTTCCCCAGCCATCTCTGGCTCTCCTTCCTTACACACACACACACACACACACACACACACACACACACACACACGTGCACGCATGTACGTGTGCACTGAGACACACGATACCAACAGAATCCACCCTCATCAGTGCTGCCATGATGCCTGGCCAGGGCACGATTGAGGCAGCAAGACAGATAAATTTTGCCACCCACAGAGGAACAATGTGGGTGGAAGGAGTGGAAACGGGAGAATAAGAGGTGGAGAAAAAGCAAAGCAGGATGGGAAGAAAGAGAAGCATCCACAACCACCATCACCAGCTCCCCAAAAAAGGAAAGAAGATGGTCAGTGATGCTCATGGGAGGAACTTGAGAAGCCTCAGAATTCCCACCGTGTCCCCTCCTTGTGTCCAGAACACAGGTGATCAAAAGGCTGTGCCCTGCCCCTCCACAGCTGGTTCCTGGGCACCTCTGGCTTGGGTGAGCCTCCCTGGCAGCCCTGCTTTACTCTCAGGAAACTTTCCAGGGTAGCATGAGTGAGTACCAGGCTCAGTATCACTGACGTGTCATCCCCTGGTTTTCCTTTGGCTGGATAGTCCATGGTGACAAAAGCATCAGCCTCAGGTCATGGATCCCATGATGCAGAAAACAAATTCTGGGAGACTTCCTGACCCAGAGCCCCAGCAGGATTTCCCGGATGAACTCAGTCCCAGAATGAAAAGTCCAGGACAGCCTTTAGAGCCAATTTCAGGTGCTATTTCCTCCTAAGAACTTTACATATATTGCCCTACTTGAAGCCGACGACGTGAGCTGAGGGCTCTATTAGTAGCCCCATTTTACAGCTAAGCAAATTGAGGCACACCGAAGTTAAGTAACTGACTAAAAGAACACACAGCCAATAATAAGTAGTTTCAAGCCCAGGCAGGGCTGGGCTTTTAACCATCATCATGTTTCCATTCCGGACAATTGAAACCTATGGAGCCTGGCTTGGATCCCTCAGAAGCAACCTTCCCAGACCGCTGAGACCTGAAAGCAGCCAAGGAAACAGCCTTGAATGCTCTGTTGAATGCTAACAGAGGCTGCTGAGAGTCTCCCGAATGATTTGGCAAACCCTGAGCCCCAACTTGCTATGAGAGAAAACTCAGTCCCTCACACTGGTGAAACCTGGCCCATGCCCTCTGTTGAACCCCACTCTGAAGAGCCCCAGTGAGGCCAGATGCTGGCTCCCAGGTAGCAATGGGGCTCAGGGGGACTCCAACAAAGGCCACCACCAGGATTCATTTAACTCCTCAGGGGCTGAAGACCCTGCAGTTTCCCTACTGCCCGAGGGAGGGCAGAGGCAGCCCAGCGAGGCTGTAGGGGCTGTGACTCACTTGAAGAAGTCCTCCTTGCAGTAGACGCTCCCGGCCCTGGAGAAGCACCTGTCGGCCAGCTGCACCTGGCAGTCCACACACTTGAGGCAGCAGCTGTGCCAGTGTCTATCCAGGACCTTCAGGATGAACTTATCCAGGATGTGCTGGTTGCAGCCAGCACACTGGGGGATCTCTATGGAGAGAAGAGAGAGAGACAGTGTGAGCCTTCCACAGCCAGACCAGGCCCTGAAATGGATGCCTCCTCACAGGACCTAACCCCCAAGGGCTGACACATTTCCACTACTGGGAAGAAGTTGTACTAAAAACATCAGCCCAAAATGAACTGTGTCTAGGCATGGACCGAGGCCATCTGGCCTAAAAAGCAAATGCTGTCAGGAGTGGAGTTAAGCCAATGTCCAGGCCTGAGGGTGCTTCACACAGCAAAGTTATACATTGGTTTGCCAGATCGGTGGGTTCTGAAGTGCCAGGGCTGGAACCCAGGGCCTCACACATGCTAGGCAGGTAGTCTACCACTGAGCCATACTCCAGACTCCCAGTTTATGCTTTGAGTTGCTCGAAGCCCACCAATCAGAGGCACTTGAATTCAGAACTGAGTTACATGGATGATTGCCGAGGGACGGACTTGCCTCACCCTGGTGTGGGTCTTGGTCGAGGCAATGAGGGGCTGTGCTGGATGCATCCTGAACAACCATTTCAAAGGCAATGATATTCTAGAGGGTGGGGATTATCCCTAGAAGCTCAGCTTTGAGCTGCCTCCTCCAAGCTAAAAGTCACTCGGCACCTGGTAATGGACCCCTGTCCGATACAATAATCAAAGTAGGTTCTGTTGCCTGCAACTGAACTCTAACCACTGCCCCATCCTTCTCCTCGGTGGCTTCCTGCTCTGTTTTTCTGAAAATCCCATCAATGGATTGCTTGAAGCAAGATAATATCTTGGACCACTATTTCAAAATCTGTAAAAATAATCAGGCTTCCACAGCTGGATGGACAAATTGTTTTGGTGTCTCTAGCTGTTTTTTCCCTATACTCTTACACACACACACAAATTCACACACATACACAGAGAGAGAGATACACACAACACACATAAACACTCATACACACATGTACACACACACAGAGGTAGAGAAAGAGAGAGAAGGTAACAGATAAGAAGACTATAAGCATAAAGGTTCAAGCATTGCCCCCTTCTGTCCCCCCCAGAAATGCACTCATAGGGTCCACACCCATGAGTTCCCCTTATCTGTTATAATTAATTTTGGCTAATAGTTTGCACACAGTTACACCCACTGGAATGAGGGGTCCTGGGAGGGGCAGGAGCAATGCTTCTCCCTCACCAGCTAGCAGGTGCTCGGCACAAAAGGACCGTTTCACAAGGTTATCTGCCAGACAGCAACTGCCCCAATTCTCACAACCAACATTCACTTGGAAGTTCTCGTTTCTTCTGTGGTCCACACTGTTGAACAGCGCATGAATCTCCCATGCTTCTCTACCCCTGTCATGCTCAAGAGGGAGATACGAATTTTCAAATGTTAGCATGGGGAACACACTGCGGGGGGGGGGGGGACGACTCAACATATCAAAAACCACAGAGCCACAGATTTCATCTCTCTCTCAATGGAGTGTCTGTTGTGAAGAAACAAACAACGAAAGTCAGAGGTGATGTGGGTGGGAAAAGAACATTTCACGTTTTTGGTGGGAATATAAATTAATGCAGCCAGTAGCCACTATGGAATATTCTGTGGATGTGCCTCAAAAAACTAAAGGTAGAGCTGACTCATGCCGAGTTGCATATTCCTCAGTGTACATCCTGAGGAATCGCAGATGGCATACGATAGAGACACCTATGTGCCCACAGTTATCACGGCACTCTTCCCAACAGGGGAGCTGTGGGATTGGCCGAGGTGTCCATCGTTAGGTGAATGGATAAAGAAAATAGGGAACAGGGAGATGGCTGAGCAGTTAAGAGCACTTCCTGGTCTTCCAGAGGACCTAGGCTTTGTGATGTACACATCAGCAGGCTCTCTAATTGCCCATAGCTATAACGTCTGGTGATCTCATGCCCTCTTCTGGCCTCTGCGGGCACCTGTGCACAGGTAGTACACACATAAACACACACACACACACACACACACACACATAAAAATAAATCTAAACGATAAAAGAGAATGGAGCTGAGTGTGGTGGCGTGTACCTTTTTTAATCCCATCACCCGAGAGGCAGAAACAGGCAGGTCTCTGAGTTTGAGGCCAGCCCGAGATATATGTTTCCAGACCTGGACACAGCAGCATAGTGAGACTCTGTCTCAAAAAGGGGGTGGCGGGGTATATTTACACAATGGAGTTTTTATTCCGCCATAAGAATGAAATTAGGTCTGAGCAGACTCTTAAAAAAAAAAAAAAAGTTGGGGCATGGCACAGCAGCAAAGGGCCGCAGAGGACTGGAGTTAAGTCCCCAGCCCACGGTGGCCCACAACCATCCTTAACTCCAGTTTCAGAAGGTCTAACGCCCTCTTCTGACCTCCACAGGCACTAGCCAGGCACAGGGTGCACAGACATACATTCAGGCAAAACACACGTACACATAAAATAAACTAATTAATAAAAAAATAAGTCTGAAAGTAGAAGGGGGGCTAAATATGGCTGCAGTTCCAGCTGTTTGGAGCTGGAGTAGGAGGATCAGGAGTTCAAGGGCAGCCTGAATTACATAGAAACCCGAGCCCAGTCTGGGTTACATGAAGTCCTGTTAGAAGGAAAAAAATAAGAGAAAAGAAAAGGGTGTTTGTGAAGGGGGGGGGGTAAATGTAGGGATGAGGAACTAAAGAGTATGAGGTAAACAAATGTGATCAAAATGCATCATATACATGTATGAAAATCTCACAATAAAACCTATTATTATACACAATTAATGTCTGCTAACAAAACTATCTCGACAACATCCATGTCCAGAGAAAGCTTTCTCTCTTTTTTTGTTTTGGTTTTGGTTTTGGTTTTTCAAGACAGGGTTTCTCTGTGGAGCTCTGGCTGTCCTGAAACTCACTCTGTAGACCAGGCTGGCCTCAAACTCAGAAAGATCTGCCTGCCTCTGCCTCCCAGAGCACTGGGGTTAAAGGTGTGTGCCACCACCGCCCAGCTCTGAGAAAGTTTTCTTAACTATTCAGACACTTACTTGAACTTGGGATATTTGATAAAAAGCAATAGTCCTGTTTCACCCAAGTGGCCGGCTACCTTGGATCCAATTAACCTCCCCTGTCCCTTTCAGAACCTAAGAACCACCAGCCTTCATTGGGAAATCAGACCTGCTAATCAATCAATGCCTTGCTGCTTGACTCTATTCTCAAAAATCAAGCGTTACACATGCAGGCTGGACCCTTGCTAATTGCCACAGTTTGTATTCTAGGATTCTTCCCCCTCTCTTTCTTTCTCTTTCTGCTTCACAGAATGTGGCACCCACCTGCTATCCCAGCACTTGGGAAGCTAAATGAAAGAGTACTGAGAATTTGAAAGCGGATTAGGCAAGACCCCCGGCTCAAACAAAACAAGTTTTCCTGTATAAGAAAGGCACGTTTCAACTGTAAAGTGCTTAATGGAGGGGTTCTGGGAGCAACTTGACAAGAGAGGCAGGAAGGACAAGGGGTACAGGGTGGGTTCTAGAACCTGACTGAGTTTCGGTTCTGGCTCTGTTCGGTCACCTTGGACAGCCAATCACTCTACCTCAGCTCCTCACTTGGAAAACTGGGGGGCTGTGGCCAACACTGCCTCTCAGGATTACGGAGGTGAAGAAATACACAAGCGTGTGGAGGGAAGTCGGGAGAGAGCAGGGTACACAGCCGACCTGACCTCCATGGGGTTCTTTGGGATTACAAAATGGATTAGCTGCTCTAAGGGAAGGAAGGTCCTGCCAGCGGGACTGTGGGGTTCATCTCTCTGGACCTTGATAAGCCTCCCCCCTCCCCCACCTCACTGCCCTCCCATGCTGATGGGCCTGCCTGCCTATTTATCCACCCACCCCTGCGCGCTCTCGCTCTCTCTTTCTGGCCACCAGGGAGTGAGCCCCACCCCCAAGAGGCAGGGTGGAGGGGGGGAAGGCTTGGAAAGAGTGCTGGCCGGGAGAGACTGCGTGTAGGCCCAGCACAGCGATGGATGGCCACGTCAAGTCCAGCCTCCGGCCAGGGACAGCGGCTGATCCCTAGCTCCCGAAGGGGAGGGCTTGGGTTGAAGGTTAGCAGGGATGGCTCTCACGTATCTGACGGGGAGGGGCAGACAACTCAGAAGCCTTCCTGCTCACGGAAGTAAATCAGGGACAAAAGGTGCAGAACGGAGGGGAAAAAAGCTGAACAAGGGCAGGTCCCGGGACAGCAACGGCGGCCACTTGACTGCAGAGTGTGGGCTGCGCCAGCCTCCTGCCAGTACCGGAAATGGGCCCAGCTCAGCAGAGCACAGTTGGTCACGCCTCGGTCCCTATGCCTCACCAGGACTTCGTGGGACAGAGCGAACCAGCCGCTGCATTCATTCGGGGCAGGGGTATTGGACAACGAAGCTGGCTTGCCCTGGGTTTCCCACGTCTGTGCGTCTGTCCATCTGGGCTCCAGGGCCAAAGCCCAATCCTACCCAATTGTTTGGTCTGCTCTGTAAGACTGCTCTGATTCAACGGTATTTCTCCTCCAAGCTACAAACGCGGCGAGGATGTATGGCTATAAAATTTATTTCGAGCAAGGTACCTAGCGGGGAGACTTAATATGATCGGTATTCGAGAAAGAATACATTAGGGCTAATGTATGCAGGGAGCCGCGCTGGAGCGGGAGCGCACACCGCAGGGGAGTCCTGAAGGCGGATAGGCGATCCAGTCTGCAGCTAGGAACCATCACCGCTAGTCAGGCTGGGACCCCCAACTAGGCGCCTGCGGAGGCCCGAGAACCAAACTAGACCCTTGAGTTTGGCACAAATGTAAGGTACGGATTAAAGGCACATTTTCAAACATTTCCAAGCAGTCAAGTTCAGACCCATTCCTTCCCCTCAGAAGATGCTGACCTATGAACTCGGGCCCCACGTTCCAGGCTACACGGGCCCCATTTGATTGGTAAAAATACACGGAAAGTTATCTGGCTATTTTTCAAACAGCCACGATGTCTTTTTAGTATAAGGAATTGTTGTTATTGCACGTTCGGAGGTC